AGAAAAAAAAAAAAAAAAAGAAAAAAAAAAAGGCTAGAAGCCAAAACGGGGCATCTTGAAGATGGGGACGGAGGAGAGAGAAAAAAAGCCTCCTTCTTAAGTTCTTCTTTAGGCCCGCTCTCGTGTGCCAAGGAGCCGCAACGCTGCAGGAAGAATAGGCCGAGGCCGGCAAAGAAGCGAAGCCAAGCGTCAAGCCGTCGGCGGTTGGAAAAGAACACGATGGTTTTCCCCTTGTCCTTCGTTTCGTTTCCTCCTCAGCTACTGATACTACTAATGCAAGTTGTCGTAAAGTATCGTGAAGCTTCGCTCAGCCATATAAAGCAAAATTTGGAAAACAACCGAGGACGTCACGTCGAGAGCAACTCAAGCGTAATATTGAGAGTCTGTGACGCATTCAAGTCGGAGTAGTCAAGCCAATCACACGATTGGCAAGTAGTTCTGCTACTAGACATGTTAAGGCTCTATGCTTGAATCATATATTACAACTCTCAATACTCAACTGATGTCACGAGACTGCAGCTTGAACAAAAAATTACACCGAGTGTTCGACCCTGACACCCAACGCCCAAGTTGCTTCCCTCTTCCAATCCCAGCCAGGTGTACCAACTCTACCTTGCCTTGTTAAAATGTGAAAACAATGCCCCGTTCGACGTTTCATAGCACTGCAACAACAGCTGTAATGCTGATGTATGAACGCCAAGATGATTCAATATCGTCTACAATATATATATCCCGAAACTATGTCATGCTGTAAGGTACAATTGCCTTGTCTATGACAGGCTGCCGGCGCGACATCTTTTCACTCTCGGGACCCCATTGTGATCGATATGATGCCTCCTTCTCTGCAGCGCTGTCAAACGCAGCACGGCACTCTGGGGGTAGGAGATCTTTGATATCGTCTGAGACTGCACTTAGTCCCTGGAACGAAGCAAGGAAGTCGGCCGAGTTGGCTGTGCCGTCCACGCCCGATGCTGAGATGACACCTGCCGATGATGTTTCAAAGTAGGTATCGGCAACGAAGAAATTGCGCGCCACCTTAGCCGGAACAGGAGGGAACATGGAGCTGTCTGCGGTGGCCTCCTCGTCCTCTGGAGCGACTTGCTCAATGCGTGCTCGCGTTGGCTGCATTGTTACTGGGTACTGCATGACATTGGTATGAATGTCGTACACGCCAGCGTTGTTTAGTTTTCGAATAGCATTGATACCGGCATTAAATGTGCTGTAGGATTGGTTGTTAGCATCACGGGAAGTCTTGAGTCCTGCATATCATCAGGAGATAATTGCTTACCTGGCTTCACGGGCGTGCTCCAGCATCCAGTTCATGTCATTGACGTTTACCTTGCGTTTCTTAGACTCGATTTTGCCATTAGGAACCGGCACTGAAGGTGCGTTTGTGTGATACACGGCACTGGCACCGTGCCACGCAACATACTGGTTCTTGTTGTACGGCTCTCCCACAACAAAGTGGTCATTCGGGTCTGCGATCTCGCCCTCGACAGCACCTTCGGCGCGGGCCAAGGCAACGTTGTAATCATCATTGATGCGCTTTCCACCAACAATGATTCGCGCACCAAACTCTCGAAACACTGATCGTGCCGTGACAATACCTATCGATCGACCCTTGTACGAGTGGGGGATGATATCCCGCTCAATCATGTCCCGCTTCTCGTCGTCGTCGACAATAATCTTGTAAAGCTTTTTGTGCTTGGTAAAAAACAGATAACTGTCCCTGAACCCAACACATCTGGCCGGTTCTGTCGAAAGCATGTAAAGTCTATCCCCGCGGCCCATGACTGTGAATGTTCGGCAACGATATTCGCGTCCACCCTGCAAATTGCCCAGCTTGTCGACCTTGGTCTCGCCTTCTGGATCCTCCGGCAACACGCATTCGTCGTTTGCGATCTCGGCAATGGTCCCTTCGCCGTCAATGACTTGCTCGGCCTTTGGCATAGACATGCCTCCTTTGCGACCGCCTCTCCCCCGCCAACCACCTCTGCCGCGACGTCGTGGTGTGTTGGCTTCATCGGCAGGAACCGAAATCATGTTGTCCCAGTCCGGGGGTCGGTTCTTAGGTGGACGGCCGAGTCGCTTTCTGCGAACCATGGGCTGGGGAGGTGGTGTGGGTTCCTTAGTAGACTCATCATCCTTCTCAGCAGCGTCGGCATCGGGGTCGGCGGCATCGTCTTCGTCCCCTGATTCCTCTTTTGGTTGGTGATCCTCGTCCTTGTCATCGTCGGGATCCAGCACCTGGTGTCGCTTTGAAACTTGGGCGCTCGGAGAGGCATCAGGCATGGGCTCGTCATCTAGGTCGGCAAAGGATTTTGGGGTGCTCTCTGATTTAGAACTTCGCGTCAGTCTCAAGCGAATCTTTCCTCGAGGCGCCATGGCAACGATGTGCGATTTTGTTTACGCGCAAAGGCGCAAAACAGTACAGAAGAAAAGTAAATCAAGATTGAAGAGATAGAAATAAAAAGATCAAATGCGCCAGAGAGGAAGTTATAAAAAGAT